AATATATTGGTATAACTAGAGTTACAAATAATAGAACTCAACTTATTAATAAAGATTTGTTTAAAATATTACTAGTGGAATTTGAACTTGGTATTATAGTTAAGCTAGCTTGAGAATATAACAACTCTACTATTATTCTAAGTTATTATATTTTTAAAAACAAAAATTTTTTTAAAAATAAAAATATATAAAAATTTAAAAAGTTTAAAAAAGAATTTTATAGTAAAAATTTTTAAAGCAAAAGCTTTAAATTTTTATTACTTAAAAAATTTCTAGTAAAATTAAAAAATTTTTATAATAAAATTTATAAAATATATTTCAAATAAAATATTGTATATATAAAATATATTTATATTATTAATAAATTTTAATTTTATTTAAAAAATTATAAATACTTTTCAAAATTTTAGGCAAATTTGTCTGGAATACAGTTTAAGAAATAATAATATTTTTTAAACCATAATATAGGCAAATTTGTCTGCTAAAATTTTTTTTATATCATTCTTATATAATTGTCTCTGATTTTACTAAGCTTTGTCCTCATAGGAAGACATTCGTTTGATTAGTTAATTTTTATAGATCTACCCATGATTATCTGTGATAATTAACTAATTAAATTACTGAATTAAATTATTTTATTTTGCAATATTATATAGAAAACAAGAGAATACTGGATATATACAAAAGAAGCAAAAATATCAAAATTTTATGCTATATGACTAAAACATATATACGAAATGCAAAAAATAATATTTTTCACCAAAACCAAGCACATACATAATATATTTTTATTGTCAATAAGCTCAAATCTACTACCTATGATCAATAAACCCAAAAACATTACAAGAACCAAACTAACTTAAATATAAACCTAATTTTTTTTACTATAACAAACTTGCACCTACTATGCCAAGGTAAATGGTTAGTAGTTGTTTATTTAGATTAGCTTAATTGAGTCGTTAACAAATACATTTTTTTGGTTTACCTTTCTTTTAGTTTATTAACTATCTACAGTGTTTTTATAAAAATAAATTCGTATTGTCTAATAAACGAGAAGCATATTTTGCCTTCTAAATAAAGTCTGTCAAATTTAGAGATTATTTGAGATTATTTTGTAGAGTTAATATTAGCGTTTGTTTGAAGCTAAAGATGATTTTTAAATGAATTTTTGTTAGTGAAATGTTACAATTTTAAAAAAAGTACTTTAAAGTATATAAATAAGTTACCTGGGCAATTGATTTATATCAGCCAATCAGACGAAAGTCTGCCTATGAGCTTTGTCCTCTCTATTACTAAGCTCAAATGAAAATTCGCCGCATGATTGATTACCCATAATTTTCTTTTCACAGTAACTTCCAAATTTATTATGCACCACTGATTTAAAAATAATGAACATAAATGCATAAGTACTTGATAATCGATGCTATGTACGAAAAAAAAAAAATTCTTACAGTAATGTCCAAATATAAAGCCAAAGAATTGTCTTCCGATTTTTCATCTTCGAGTTTGTCATTTTCGGGCTCATCATCTTTGAGTTTGTCATTTTTGTCTCTTTTTGAAGGTGCAGAAAAATTTGCCGATTAAAAATATTTACCGATTTTGACATTCTGTCAGCATTTTCTTGAGGACCCGAATTTAGATGATAACGATGACGACCAGAATGCTGCAGAAATAGATACTGTTAGTGTCCTTAAAAAAAACATAAATTAGCAGAGACCATACTCTCACCACTACCTTTAGACTTTAAACCACTTGTTTACCAAAGTTTGCACAGAGCAAATATTAGGTTGCTGCTACACTTTGATGTTGCTGTTTTTAAAGCGATTGATTTTTTTTTTTATTTTTTACAAATGCAATGTTGGAAACAATAGTCGTCAATATGAATTTATATGCATCATCAAAAGATACCGATGTCTCTGGTAGAAGTTGGCTAGATGTAAACCATAAAGAGCTTGTTATCTGGATAGCTCTCATTATCTATCATGGACTTTTTAAAGTGCTTTCTTTTAACTTGTACTGAAATGAAAATCAGAAACTTCCCATCTACCATATTTCAAAGAAAATGTTTTTGACATGCTTTGAACAAATAAAGAGGTTTCTGCACATTTTCTCCTCCTCCTCAACAACTAAAAATTATTTTGACAAAGTGAAGCCATTGCTTTTATGCATCCAGGATACTTCAAAATGGTATTATATACTAGGAACAAACATTTTGATAAATAAAATAATGATTTGGTTTTCTGGAAGAAGTGTTTATACAATCTGAATGAAGAACAAGCCTATCTCTAAAGGTTTCAAAATTTTCTTATTATGTGAATCCAGATACACTTACACTTTCTTGCTAACATCACGTATATCTACAAGCGACGTTGTAAAAGTGAGTAGCCTAAACTAAACTGGGTATCTAGTTCTTCATCTAGTAGAGCAGCTTTTATATCATTATGTTCTGTACAATATTTACATGAACAATTACTTTACCAGCATGCCTCTTTTTCAGCATCTCCGGCAGATTTGTGTTGGAGCTTGCGGTACTGTTCGTAAAATGGCCTCTGGGTTTTCCAAAGAACTAAAAGTAGACAAAAATGCTAAATTTGATTGGGACGTTTACTCTGGAGTTGTTATAGACAGTGTCTTGGCTGCCTTCTGGCAGGATAATGGGCTGGTAACAATGCTGACAACAATTTATGGACTTTAGTTGAACAATAGAAAGTTAAACAGATAAGACATCGATCAAGAGAAACTAGTATGAATACAAAAAAGATACATGTAGTATTTGGATCAGAATCAAGAAAATCATTAAAAATCCCAAAAATAATTGATGATTACAACAACAATATGAATGGTGTAGACATTGCTGATCAATTGCGATCCTATTACAACAGCCAACAAACAACACAATGAAATTGGATACTGCTTTTTTTTTGGTTGCTGGATATAGCAATTATCAACGCATATCTGATCACTCAAACTTTAGAATCTAAACAAGGGCATAAAAAATTCTGGCTTGAGCTAGTGTGAGGCCTTATCAAATCTGCAAGTAATGTCGCTAGTGAGGTTCAATTGAGAGTGAAAAAAAAACAAAAAAAGATTCAAAAGTGAAACAGCCAAAAGTTACAAAAAAATTTGAACTTTCAGACCAATGGCTAGTGCCAGGACATCACTTGGCAAAATAGAAGGAAGAATGTCTGTGGTGTGCTTGGTTAGCAAGCAAAAAAAAAAATTAAGATAGACCATAAAACTCCTCATCAAAGTCAGGTGTGGTGCATAAAATGTAATATGCTCCTATGTTGTAATAATTATCGAAATTGTTTCAATAGGTACCATACTGAAAAATAAAGTGTACCTTTAAATATTTTCGCTGCTCATTTTATATACTTTATTATGATCTCATAAACTGATCATTGTGCTATGATTAAATAAATAAAACTTCCATCACAGCATATTTGTCAAATAATAAAAAAAATTTTTATCATACTGTTTTGTTATTTTTTTTTTTTAATGATATGTAGGAAATAAATGATTTTATTTATTTATTTATTTATTTATTTATTTATTTTTTTATTTTTTTATTTTTTTATTTTTTTATTTTTTTATTTTTTTATTTTTTTATTTTTTTTATTTTATTTTATTTATTTTTTATTTATTTTTTTATTTTCTTCTTGCAGACCAAAATTTTTAGATCGATTGCTCGAAAATGCCCAAAAAATCTGCTCTAATTGACTTCGCGAATACTTAACAATGCCTCTGCCTCTTTATTTTAGTTGCCGAGTATGTAGTTCGAGTCTGTTAAATTAATTTCTATTAAGCATGTTGGGGTCTAATTGGCCATGACGACACAAAAATTTTAGTCACATGGCATAATTTTACAGTTTCGGGACGGTTCATTTCGTGTAATTCAATCTCATGACTTTCGCTTAGGTCACAAGGTCATGAAAACAATACGGCTATGGTCCACATCAAGTGCTCTACCATCTTGGGAGTTACTCTGATCGATTTGCGTGAAAATTTCTATAAAAATTTTTTTTACAATAGGAATATTTTTTTAACTATTTTTAGCGGGCAAATTTGCCCGCTAAAATCTACGGTTTAAGGGATAGTGCTACATTAGCATGTAAATAAAAAACAATTTTTTTTACAAAATAATCTTTTAATTAAAATAGGATTAAAAAGTAAGACTTAGTTTATACCAAAATTTTGCAATAAATTTTTTTTATTAGAGTATAAAAAAGCAAACAAAATTTTAAAATATAATTAATTTTTTAAAAAATTTCTTATTTTTGTTACACACCTGATTTTAAATTTTAACTGGTTCTAATGTTATAATACAGTCAGACCTCCCTAAATGCAACCTCTCTAAATGCATGGCCTCTCTAAATGCATGGCTTGGCTTTGTCCCAACTCATGTTACTTATAGATTTTTACCTCCCTAAATGCAATACCTCTCTAAATGCAAGGTTTTTTGTTAGCCCGACGCCATGCATTTAGAGAGGTCTGACTGTACCTTAGCACCATGGTGCTATAGCATTAAAAAATAATCAATTTTATCTAATAAAAGCACCAATTCTAACCTAATTATTTAACTAATATCGAACCGTAAGCTTACTCTATTTAATACACGTGATTATATAAATTATTTTGTTCGCATTAATCATTTCATTCATCCTATAATTAGATATTCTTTTTACTCATATTAAAATAAAAAAAATATTTTTATTAAGGAGATCCTGATACGGTTGGGTAATTGCAAAATTGAATTGACAACATATATCATTTTTAGCTTGGTACTATATTTTAGCCAATTAAATGTTTTGGAACGGACCTATTATAACAGCGAAGTATTTTATTATAAAAATATTATTGACTATTCATTGGTTAATAATATATATGTTCCAACGAAAAGATCGTTCCAGTGGAACTTTTCACTGGAACATTGAAAGTCCAGTGGAGTTCCAGTTTCCAGTCCAACAACACTGGGTATGCCCAATTCGAATAAATGTCAATTATTCTGAATCGTTTGGTTCGCTAGATTCATCTTCCGCTTTTTGTTGTTTAGCATAGGCCAATTGTTCTTGCATCATTTGATATACATATTTCCCAATATGTTCTACGTCAGCTATTTCATATGGTTCACCATAATCCTCAATCTATTAATCATTAAAAGGTTATATTTAATAGTTGTCAGTTTATCATATATTTACAAGTTAGCAGATTATAAAAGAAAAAAAAAAATTTTTGTTATATACATCTCTCTTTGAAGGCCACATCTCGTTAATTTTCAGATTCAATTTAGTAGGACGTTTTAACAGTTCGTCGAATGTCGGTGTCAATTCATAACAATTTTTAAATAAAGCGAGGCGACAAAAAACATATAATCCCAATCGAGCACGAGACATTGCCACAATAAGACGTCTTACATCTCGAATATGTCCAACAGACTTTGTTCGTACCAAAGACAAAAGAATATCTATACCAGAGAGATATATATTTTAATGATACAAAGCATTGAGAAACTATAGAAAATAATAATTAAGTGAATGCTTACAGTCATTCTGCTGTCCTTGAAATTTATCAACGGTGGTCACTTTAGCAGGACGACCAAATAAAGGATTCCAAGAACATCGTTGTTTTAATACGTCTCTTATTAAAGCTTTTTGTCCGTTATACGTGGTCAAAATAGAAATTTTATCGGACGGGTACCTTTATAAAAACACTTTTAATACAAGGCAAATGAAAAAATATGTATAGGTAAACATATATAAATACCCCAACAATCGCATATATTGATACACCGCAACAATGAATTCTGCTTCACCAAGATTCTAGTAAGAATGTGTGTCAAATAAGTTACACAAATACAATCGTGATAATACAAACATTTAAGAATGATACCTGATAGAAATACGGAACGGGCTCGGTTTCACCTTTGCTCATATAGTTGTCGACATTTATCACTTGATAATCGTAGGTAAAACTTTGCAGATAAACATGAAAAATGTCAAATTACGAAATACAAAACTTGGAATAAAAATTAGATAAAAATATCATCATACCCAGAATTTGCATATTTGTATTCTTCCTGTTCAGTAACAGACGGTAGATCTCCCAAATCTTTATATCGCCAATTATACAATTTCGCGATTGATGGTCGTGAACGACCCTAAATTTATTCATATACAATGATTAAAATTTGAAGGGAAAAAAAAAATTTTTTTTTTCTGAATCACTAAAAATTTATACCTGTGAATCTAAATCAATAGTAGGAACTCCGAGTCTGACGAATCGAGTAAATAGACTCTGTTCCATATTACCATATTGCTGGAATGCCATATTTTTCACAACAGGGGGCAATTGATTATGATCTCCAATCATCACTACTCTCTTTAGTCTGCTTCGGCCGTCTTCAGTTTCTTGTAAAAGTAAAGGAATAAAAGTCTCCACTTCTAATATTTGGGCCGCTTCTTCCATCACGACATTGTCATATTTGAATGCCAATAAAGATAACTCACGTCGCTATAATGTCATATAAACATTAACTTGCATTAGTATTTTTTATTTTTTTTAAAGTATTAATATACTGTCTCCCGAAATGTTTTCAACTACCTTGATTTATAGGAACTAAAAAAGTTTACAACTTTATACAATACATTGACTTTTTATAATTGAGCATATGATAATTTTCAGCTCCAATGGTCGAAAACTTTTTAGGAGATAAAAAAAATTATTTACTCACCTTGAGTGCTGCATGTGTGCAAGTCATTGCAATTATTTTGGCTTCCTTAGTTAATAAATAATTAGCTCTATCATAACTTGTTCGCAATAATTCGAATCCACGAATTTCTTCAAGTTCTGTAAAAATTTTTTCAATATGCCGAAAGCACCCCTCAGCAATCTCTAGCGTCTCAGCATAATCAGCATCTTCCGGAAAAAGTGGTTGTGGAGCGTTGTGAAAGTAATTACTAAAAGGAAATTCATTTCTTATTATCTCTACTCCAACATTGCCATTTTCTAATCCTTGTCTACATTTATCTATATAAGGTTCCCATCTTGATAAAACGTGATACAAATAAAAGTATCCAGCAGTTTCACATGTGTATCCATGCTCACCACCAATTTCTAATGACTGAGAAAGACGATCTACTTCAGAAAGCAGAGCAAGTCGTTTCTCCTGTAAATAATATAAATGAAATAATTTAAAATCTGTGTATGTAATATTAATCAAGTTGAGAAAGATGAATCTACCAAAAATGAGTTAACACGACCATATTTACTGAAACTCAATTCAGTATTTAATTCTTCTTCACCATGACCTAAGCGAAGTAAATGACGCTCGTCGACATCTGAATATATAGGAATATATCATGTTAATAATTTTGATTTTGATAATACAAATTAAAAATGTGATTCATTTTGTAATTAAGACCATTTTTTAAATTACCAAGTGCCATTATCTTTTCAAACAACTGATTCAAAGCTTGATTGCTATGAGTAACCAGTAATGTATGCTGATCGGGAAAATTGTTGTAAAGATTGGCAATAATTTGAACGGCCACATCTGTTTTGCCAGTACCCGGTGGACCAACTATCAATGTTAAACCTGGATTTGTTCCTGACTTAATTGCTTCCACTATGATTAAAGTAGACCTTTAGAAACATATTATGACAAACTATCGTTTACTTAATATAGATTCTTACCTTGAGCTGGAGTAAACCTTATTGTGTTTTTTCTTGGTAGATTGAAGGGATAAGGCCCCATATTTGGTATACTGTATGTACGTACCATGATCGTATTCTCATCTTGTTTTGAATCAGAAGAATCAGTTGAATTGTTGGCATTCAAAGATTCAGGAAATTGAAGAACATATGGAGGAGGAAATGGCGCTTCGTAACCTTCCATTGGAACTATTTCCTTTTATTTTGGTTGTCATTAAATAATTAGATAAGAAATAATAATAATAATAATGATAGTTTAGTAATAATAGTATAAAATATTAAAGATAGTTACTACCTTTCCAGGAAAGCTTTCGACCAGGTGATCATAATCTAAAAATGTATCTCGAAAGTCAATTTCTTTAGGAAGGTTTGGCATCATAGTATAATGAGCACTACCAGGAAGGCCATAACCCAAAAAAATATTATGTAACCAATCTGGTACAACCAATTCACTCTGCATCAGGTCACGAATCGTTTCAAGCACAGCTTTAAAATTATTTTCCTTAAGTCATAAGATTTAACAATTATAAATAATTCTTTTGTAGCAACATTAACAATACAATAATAATAATAATAATAATAATAATAATAATAATTATTATTATTATTATTATTATTATTTAATTGAATGGAAACATACTTTTGGCTTTCTTCTCATTAATACGTTAAATGTTTCATATACATCCTCTTCTTTGGTATTTGAGAACCTGTTCATATCAATCTATTAAGTATGATATAGCATTAATTCAATATTAATATTATGAGTTTTATCCATGTTTTAAAAAGTAGAAGTATATTGTTGAATAATCAACACGTTACTTTATATTGATTTGGATCCAACAATACGCGAAGGGTTCTCAAATTTCCCGAAATTTTTGTCTTTTCTTCTACATTTGGCTTACTTGCTTCTTCAATTGGTTTACCTTTAACACAAATATATATCGCTTAAAATAAACAAAATATATTTAAAATAATATAAAGGTAAAAATTTAAAATTTACCATCATCGCCAATAATCTCAACTATTTCGCATCCTCTAACATACTTTAAGCCAAAATGCGATCTATATTTTTATATAAAAATTTTTAAGATGACTTATACTTAATAAGAGCTTTAAAGTTGTATTACAACAAACCTGAATGGTATGTCATCGCGATATTTATCCGCAGTACCATCGTGAGCTTGAATTGTAAGCAAAAATAATACATCATGCTGCCTTAAAGAATCCCATTCATTCTGAATAGAATCAGTATAACGACCAATGTTAAAAGTCACCTATTTATTGAGCAATAATAATCAAATTTAACACAAGTAATTAATAAACAATGGACAATGGAATGTATAGAAATTGGTTTTACATCGGCTTTAACTTGAGAAGGTTTATCTTCACCAAGATTTGGCTTTGAAACTTCTACAATACTAATAAATACATAAAAAAACACAGTTGTTACATATAAGAAAATATACCGTATTATGCAGAGTCTATACTTTAAAAAACACATACTTAAATCGCTCAATTTCTATTGCCATGCGAGCCCAACCAGTGAATTCAGTTCTACCAGATGGATATGTTATTCTTGGAGCCAATCGCTTGACAACATCTTCAATGTCTTGTCGAATTTCATAAGTGCTTTCCAATCGAAATAAATTAAAGTTCCTCAACAAATAATCATGAATAGTAAGGAATTGTAGATTAAGTTTTGGAAGAGCCAGTGGAGTATCACCGGAATAAAATTGAGTTTTCACTACCGCGTCATCAAAAAGAGCATTCTAAATTATAGAATTATTTTTAATTATAAACTAAAATAAGTTTTATAAGAAAAAAAGAACAATTATAGACCTCATCAGGATATAATGGAAGTGCATTGATCGCATCAATTTGACTTGTTCTTTTTTCAAATTTTTCAATCAAGACTTCTATTAAAAAATCTTTATCATAATGTTCATTTAATTCATCATCCGCTAATTTTTTTGTCCTTATACTCAAAAGATCGCATAATTGTATTATAGTTTGATGATTAAGTGGTTCAAAATGACTTAATAAATCTTCCCGTGTTTCTATTGCAGACAAATTTGAAAGAGCTAACAACTGCAATGAGTCCTTAAAATGCTTGAATGCAGTATGCTGTAAAAAAGTAAATTAAATAAGCAATATTATAACATTAACTTGAATTTTAACAAGGAAATTAAGTATATGTGCATACCTGTAAGGACATGAGCTTTTTACAATGTAATTCTGTCATTTGATCATCAGTCAATGCCAATCCAGTATGATCATGAATTTCGAAACCAGCATAAAACTTTAATATCTCTAAAAGCTGCTTAAAAAGCTCACTTAAAAGACAAGCATATAAAATTAGTATAAAAAAAATAATATAAAAAATGAGAATATTACAATCATGAGAAAAAACAAGAAAGGGACACTAACCTTCCTTCTTTACGTTTAACTAAAGGAGATAATTTGCATAGAACCAATATTTGATGATCATCAAGAAGAGTGTTGAAATATCTTCTTGTGGGCAGTTGTGCTTCAAGGTCAATCAAAAACTCCAAGAAACGTTCACAATATGCAATGGCATCACTATCCGCTAAATTATTGAATTAAGCGCGTTTAGCACTTTATTAAATACTAACATGATCATGATTGATTGAATAGATATTATACCATCGCCAGATTCCGGTATTGAATATAAAATTTTTACGAATCCTTTCATAAGATTACTTATCCAAGTTCTCTGAAAAATTAAAAGTTCTTTTTTGATCGTTATCTAATTAAAATAAATAATAATAAAAATAATAATAATAATATATATATATATATATTTATAATTTGTAAGAATGGTTTAATTATAATTTTTAAACGGCAATTAAACTGATGAATATTACAACATGTACCAACCAAGAATTACTGACTACCTGCTTTTTTAAACCTTTTTGCAAAAGCGTTCCACCTTTTTTTAAGATCTTTATCAGAAGCGAATTCTTTCTCACGGAGCGATGAAGTACCAAAGCAATGCCATGTTACAAGTGATACTAAACTATTAAAAAGAAAAATATTGCCATAAATACACAAATTTTTGTATAAAATAAAAGGTATTTTTAAAGGAATGAATAAAATAAATACATCATGCATTCAGTTCTTAATAATTGGTTTTCCAAGCTTTGGAAAGCATGAATCAAGAAGATTAAAAGGAAACGCCTAACTTGAAAAGTAAGTTTATCCGATAATGGAGGCACAGTCAAACGAAGTACATGTATGAAAAAAGAATTGAATTGATCAGGTCTGCTCGCGAAACAATCTGTTAAAAAAATGAAAGAGTTAATTAAGGAGCATTAATTTTATTTCAGATCAAGATTAAATTATAGAAAATAAGCACGATACCCCAAGCGGACACGCGCTCTCTGAATTTTTCATTAACCATTAAAACTATGGATAAAACATGAGCCAAAGATGCATTTTCACCATCAAAATTTGGCCAAAGATACTGTTAAAAATAAATTATTAATACAAATATATGAATCCAGTGACGTGTATTATATAATTTTACGAATAATTTTTACCTTTTCCAAGTATTGACTGAACTCGAGCAACATTAATTTTTTAGTTTCAAACCGATTATTTTCCAATTCTTTAAAATAAATATCTTCAACTACATTGGGTAACCATTCTCGCGTATCAGGATCTTTTGATAGCCAATATTCTTGAGCCAGTAAAGAAATCGAATCTTTTTGTATTTCTTGAAGTGTAGGGTGGTATATACCACCTCTTGTACTTTCTGTTGGAGGAGCGTGCGGTGGTAAAGTCGTATGAATCATTATTCTGTTTTTTTCACGTATCGATGTATGCAGTTACTCATCGTTATATTCTCTATATAATCTCACATCACAAATTTAATTGGTTGATCGTACTGAAAAATCGCTATTTTACCCGGCATTGCTGCATTGGCCGAAATTAGGAAAAATATGATTGGTGACGATCTTTTTTTCTTTATACAGTAATTCTGTAATTGCATAGTAATGAGAGATTATCAGGATAAATATATATATATAGCAGAAACAGATTAATTTGACAGGTTCAACAGTATACGTACGTACGTATAATATGTAATCACGAACTTAAAAAAAAGTTTTTTTGCAAAAATTTGAGGAGATATATAAGAGATGAATTGGTAATTAAAGTTGTAAAATTCTGCCTTAGATAATTCTTCTGTTTTTTCTTTTTTTTACTTATAAATGTACAGTATGATTCTGAACTAATGCTTTGGCATTTTTACTAGATTGTGAGAAGTGTAATTATATGAATAAAAATAATAAGTTATGAAATTATGAATAATAATATTCATATACTGAATTAAAGTAAATATTTATTGCGAAACAAATAATGTATGTGTTGTAAATGGATTCAGATTTTTGTGGGTTCTGAATTTGAAAGAAATATAAATGTAACCGTTCGAAAATATAAAACAACAGACAAATTTTTTCCCGATCATCATAAAAATCATCTTTTGTAAAGCGCTATAATAAACTTTATAAAAATCTCCCTTATTAATATTCTCTCTTTCGTGAACTAGCAATTAAGTAATGTTTTTAATTAGCCTCTATCTATCCTTTGTCTAATTAACCTATATCCTTTGTCTACTTTGTCTTTATCCATTGTCTAATTAGCCTATATCTCTTTGTCTACCTAGTCTTTATCTTTTTGTCTTGTCTACTTAGTCGTTATCTAATTAGTCTATATTCTTTGTCTAATTAGCCTTAGCCTTAAGTCCAATTAGCCTTGATGACATATACCCATTATTTTGAACTTATGTCCAATTAACCCATGTCTAGAGATGTACCTCGCGCAAGATAAATCATTCAATTAAGATAATCTTAATGAACAGTAAACTATCAATATAATCGCGTGATGTAACCTTGTGCGAGGTGTGTGAATATATACTAAGTTTACCTCGCGTGAGGTACATCTCAACCCATGTCCAATTAGAGGTGCAGACATATTGTCGTAACTAGGTCGTAATTTAATTACCTCAATATAAAAAATCTGTTTTAAAATAGGTTGTAACTAGTTACGACAATATGTCTGCACCTCTATGTCCAATTAGCCGGTCCAATACAATATGCCCAATACTGATCGTATCATATATCGATATGGATGGTATTACTTTACAAAGTAGAATGAGCTTAATCAACTAATGTGAATGAAATCACGCCACTTGGATCAACTAATTACGAAGCTTGCTAGCACAAATCGAGATGTAAAAGTGAATGTAATATTTCAATTTGGTATTTGATATACATATACAGTAGTATCGTATATATGACATATTTTCAATCAAGTTCTGCGTTATTTTTTATTAGAGATGCGAACCGGATATTCGGATATCCGTTAATTTTAAATAGGAAAACGGATAACGGATCGCATCTCTATTTTATATGATCACTTTTAGGAAACAAGTATTTCCACACTCGATTTTGATGCTTTTGATCACGGGCATAATACATAAAGTGTATTATAGTTATAGCAAAAATGAAGTGTCATATTTTTAAGCCGGAGTATTTGGATCACACATAGCAATATTGTTATACAGTAAATTTCATAACAATAATTTATAATTTACAAGGGTATGGAAATATTAAAATCGGGTGTGGAAATACTTGTTCGCTCACTTTTATTATCAATAATTTCCCCAATGACAACTATCAAGTGCGAAATGGGAACTATCCCATTTCTATTCTTTTGTTAATATAATTTCGATCCGAAATGTGTGCTATTTTTCGTTCACTTTGAAACCCCAAATTGTATACTTCTTGTTATCCGACTATATTTAAAATTAGTTTGTCTATTTTTAAAACTCCATTCATATCTACACAAGTTGCTTTGAGATTCGAAAAATCTATAAAGGGTTTTGAATTAAAAGTATTTATTACGTAATCAGAATAGTGTATAAAATACAGAAATAGAGATAGGCATTATACGTCCGGAGTTTCATATTTCTGTTACAAAAAATGATAAGCGAGCTAAATTATTTTTTTTTGATTTAATTAAATAAAGTTGTGAAGTGTGTCAAAACGTAGCTATCGTAATCAAAGAACGTAACTGTATCACTTTGATCAAATGTTAAATGTACTCCTGTACTTCGGACAATAAACCATTTCGGATAATAATCCCTGTTTCCTGTATTATATTTTAGCGTGTGATAAATATGATATCATTTAACCTTTTACGCTTAATACGTAATCTAAATTTATATTTAAATATAAACACCATGCCATTATAATATATATATATATATGCAAATATGAAACGATTATCTTACGTTATCCAGTTTTCTTTTGTACGCATAAAACCTCTTTTTCAAAGATCTCTAATTCCATTTTCATTTAATTCATTTCCTTTAAAAGCTTCCATTTCTCGCACTTTTTCTCATCGCTCTACAAAGTTTATCCACAACCCTTCTTTTATCCAATATCAAAATAATTGTAAATATTCTACTACAAAAATGTCTTTAATAAACAAGCCTGCTCCAACAGACCTAACTTTGAAAAATCAAGACGGTGAAGATGTTTGTCTTGGTGATTTCGTTGGTAAAAAGCCTACAATTATATTTTTTTACCCTAAAGACGAAACATATGGATGTACTAAAGAGGTAATAATAACATATCAATCTGGTTATATCAAAAAATTCTATCGTTTTAAAAATTCGCCGTTAAAAATTATATATGTTAAGCATAAGATAAATTCATTTCATGTAAGCATAAGATGAATTCACTTTATGCTAAACATAAAACAAATTCGTTTTTTGTTAAGTTTATTATTCTTAGCATAAGCTTGGCGAAACCAATTTTATCTCTGCCTAAACCGACATATCTACACAGTATCAATATAATGTCGGTATAGATAGAGATGCTTATTAAACTGACATCTGGATATATCGACAATTTCCATTGCTGGAGAGTGTCGATATAACCAGAGTGACGTGTATTCTATGAGTTTTTTGTGCTTTCTTTTAAAATGAGTAAGAAGTAAAGATACATATCTATTGATTATTGATAGGCCTGCTCTTTTCGTGACTCTCATTCTGTTTTCTCTGAAGCTGGTGCAATTGTGGTTGGTATTTCTGCCGATTCACCCGAAAGCCATAAAAGATTTGCAGAAAACCAAAATTTACCATACCAATTATTATCTGATCCAAATGGCGAAGCAAAAAAAGCTTTTGGTGTAAGAGTTTTATTTCAATCATTATAGCATATTTAAACGTTACGTAAAAATATTATATCTCAAATTTAATTATTTTATAACTTGTGAATTTTGTTTTTTAATATAGGTTTCAGATACCTTTGGTTTCTTACCTGGTCGTGTAACTTACCTCATCAATAGGGAGGGTATCGTTCAGGATGTCTTTAGTTCTCAACTTGATTTCAAGGGTCATGCTAAAAAGGCCGTGGAATTCATTAAATCTCATGCATGAGAATACTCTATTAGCTGTCATTATAAATATATTGTTTAGCTAGCGTTGTTCACTAGCATTATTAAAAATACTTTTTTTAAAAAAAAAATTCTCTTCAAATTCTTGTGATCGTATATCACACAGAAATCTCCAAATCCTTTTATTTTCGATATTTTTCACTGAAAATTTCTATTTATAAAGTAACAATTTCAACTATTTTCAATACTACTAGATTTAATAGTTGATTGAACAAGCAACAAAAATTTTCACGAAAATGTCTTGATAATGTTTTGCTCTTTTCAATATTCGAAACTACTTTCAAATTCTGCAAACTAATAGAATTCGAAAATGGTCTTAAACTTTGAAATTTACTAGCCGTTTTTGATCAAAGTTTGAAAAAAAAGATAATTATGTAATACAGTATGATTTCTAACAATTACTAGTATTCCCGATTACCGTAATTTGAAAAGCACTATAAAGTTTATAAAAACGTTTATAAATTTGAATGATGATAATTCTCATGAGACTAGCTAAATGTGACGATTTTTTTAAAAAGTTTTAATCGAATTTTTTAGTATATTTATAAAATGAGCCCTTTACCCAAACATTTAAAATTTAGTTTAATAATAAACCAGGGATGGTAAATGACCTGAAATGACCCAAATGACCCAAATGACAAATGACCAGTCATTGGGTCATTTCAAATTCA